ATGAACCTCCCCATGAACCGCATTTGCCACCTCCTCCCCCGTTTACCCCCGAGATGTTCCTCGCACAGCTGCTCGGGCGTCATCGCAACGCGGAACAATCCCAGAAGAACATGGAGGATTTTCTGCGCACCATCGCCAACAACGTTCAACGTGGTAACAATCAAGGTGGTGGCATGGGAGTGAACCAATATAGCAGCTTCAAAGATTTCATGGACACCAGGCCGCCAGTATTCAAGGAAGCAATAGAGCCACTTGATGCTGAGGAATGGATCAACACGATGGAAGATAAATTCCGTGTGTTGAGGATGACTGAGGTGTTGAAAACGGAGTATGCTGCACTTCAATTGCAAGGACCAGCGGGAATGTGGTGGAAGCACCATCGCACCACCTTCCCTCCAAATGCCCAGATTTCTTGGAGAGAGTTTGCTGAGGCCTTCCGTGGAGTCTATATTCCATCTGGGCTGACCGAGATGAAGTTGGGAGAGTTTCTGGCGTTGAACCAGGGCACCAAGACCATGACGCAATATCTGCATGCCTTCAACAACTTGTGTCGCTATGCTCCCGACATGGTTGACACAGATGCTAAAAGAATAGTCAGCTTCAAGAGGGGACTCAATCCAAAAATGATGAAGCATGTTGGTACCAACAACCGCGTCAGATTCAATGACTTCATCAGCGACTGTCTGAAGCAGAAGAAGGATAACAACGCCAGCACCGTAGCCAAGACACGCAAGAGAGCCCTTGAAGGTGGTCCGTCGCAAGCTAGAGCACCTATGGGAGGTCGTCCTCCATATCGCCCATCGGCACCTGGCGCTAGGTTCCAACCACCTCAGCAAAGATGTCAGAATTTCCGTGGACCCCAGAAGCCTTACAAGATGGCAGTGCAGTCCAACAAAGCAGCCGCAACTGCGGTACAAGGCAGTTGCAAGAGAACTGTGGGATCTGCCAGGACAGTGAGGGGACCCTGCTATAACTGTGATCAACCCGGCCATTTTTCGAGGTTTTGTCCGTACCCGCCCAAGAAGAAGCAGCAGACTTATAATGCTAGAGTGCATAGTACGACAGTGGATGAAATTCCTGAGGGAGAGCCCGTCACTGCTGGTAAGTTTTCTGTCAACGAAAACCCTACAGTTATTCTATTTGATTCTGGATCATCGCATTCTTTTATGAGTCAAGCATTTGCACAGAAACATGGACAACTATGCACAGAATTAGGTTATGGGTACCGTATAAGTTCAGCAGGGGCTGATGTTTTGACCAACCGGATGGTTCGAGGGGCAACCCTTGAATTAGGTAGCAGGAAGTTCCGGGTGAACTTAATAGTTATGCCTGGATTAGTTTTGGATGTCATTATAGGGATGAATTGGATGAAGGATTGGGGAGCAGTCATAGATATTGGAAGTCGAGTACTTACCCTTAAGGATCCCCTGGGTGAGGGTACTTTCCAAGTACCATTGTCTCAAAGAACAGACCTTATAAGTGTTACATGTGCTACGACAGTCATTCCTCTTCATCAGATTCTGATAGTGTGTGAATTTCTGGATGTATTCTCGGATGAGCTACCTGGTCTTCCTCCGGATAGGGAGATTGAGTTTGGAATTGAGTTAGTCCCCGGAACAGCTCCGATTTCAAGGAGACCCTATCGGATGCCTCTAGATGAACTAGCTGAGCTGAAGAAGCAGTTAGAGGATTTATCAAAAAAGGGGTTTATACGACCAAGCAAGTCTGAATGGGGATGTCCCGCCTTGTTTGTGAAGAAGAAGAAAGAGGGCACGTTGAGAATGTGCGTAGATTACAGGCCACTCAACGCCGTGACCATCAAGAATAAGTATCCCTTGCCTCATATTGATGTTCTGTTTGACCAATTATCCAAGGCCAAGGTGTTCTCAAAAATAGATTTGAGATCCGGTTATCATCAGATCAAGATTAGGCCATAGGATATACTGAAAATTGCATTTTCCACCAGATACGGGTTGTATGAGTATCTTGTCATGTCCTTTGGCTTGACAAATGCTCCTGCATACTTTATGTTTTTTATGAATACAGTTTTCATGCTAGAATTGGATAAGTTTGTGGTAGTGTTCATCGATGACATTCTGGTGTACTCCGAGAACGAGAAAGATCATGAAGAGCATCTGAGAACTGTCTTGACCAGACTTAGGGATCATCAACTGTATGCTAAGTTTAGCAAATGCGAATTCTAGTTGAAGAAAGTTTCTTTCCTTGGTCACATTCTGTCAGAGAATGGAGTTTCAGTCGATCCAAGTAAGGTGCAAGAAGTTATGAATTGGAAAGCACCGACCACAGTTCCTGAGATTAGAAGTTTCTTAGGATTAGCGGGTTATTACCGTCGCTTTATACCAGACTTTTCGAAGATTGCCAAACCGATGACAAGTCTCCTACAGAAGGATCACAAGTTTGTGTGGACAGAGGAGTGTGAAGCAGCTTTCCACACTTTGCGGAAACTGTTGACCACTGCTCCTGTTCTAGCACAACCAGATATCGAGAAACCATTTGATGTGTTTTGCGACGCATCGAAGATTGGATTGGGTTGTGTTCTTATGCAAGAAGGGAGAGTCATTGCTTATGCATCACGTCAATTAAGAAAGCACGAGGTCAACTATCCAACACATGATCTTGAACTTGCTGCAGTTGTGCACGCCCTAAAAATTTGGAGACATTATCTACTTGGTAATGTGTGCAATATTTTCACGGATCACAAGAGTCTTAAGTATATCTTTACCCAACCAGAGTTAAACATGAGATAGCGCAGATGGTTGGAATTGATCAAGGATTACAACTTGAATGTGCAATATCATCCTTGAAAAGCCAATGTAGTGGCAGATGCTTTAAGCAGAAAGTCACATTACTTGAATGTGCATCCATTACTTGAAGATGGGTTCGATCTAATGCATCCTGCTGTGTTACATAGTATTCAGATTAGTTGCTCTTTGGAGAGTAAGATAATAGAAGGCCAGAAAACCGACAAGGGGATATTCCACATCAAAGAGAAAATAAAAGAAAAGTCGTCTCAACACTTTAAAGTGGATGAACAGGGCGTGTTGTGGTTTGACGACCGTCTTGTGGTTCCCAAGGATCGAGAGCTTAGGAATAAACTCATGGATGAAGCTCACCTTTCTAAGCTATCTATCCATCCCGGAAGTAGTAAGATGTATCAAGAACTAAGATCTCGTTATTGGTGGACCAAAATGAAGAAAGAAATTATAGCATATGTTGTCAGATGTGACACATGTTGTCGAGTGAAAGCCATCCACATGAAACCTGCTGGTATGTTGCAACCCTTGTCCGTCCCTAGTTGGAAGTGGGACGATATAAGTATGGATTTTATCACAGGTTTGCCCACTACTCAAAAAGGACATGATTCGATTTGGGTAATTGTGGACCGTCTTACCAAGACCGCTCATTTCTTGCCTGTCAAAACAGATTATCGACCACCTCAATATGCCGAGAAGTATATCGCAGAAATTATGAGGTTGCATGGTATACCAAAGACCATAGTATCTGATAGAGGCTCACAGCTCACACGGCTCACTTCGAGAATATTTACACAAAGGCTTAGGAACTAGTTTGATTCGCAGATCGCTTATCATCCTCGCACGGATGGTCGACCGAACGAGTGAATGCTTGTTTTGGAGGATATGTTAAGAGCCCGTGTATTGTCTTCTAAGGGATCATGGGAATCATGGTTACCAAGTTAATGAGTTTTCTTATAATAATAGTTATCAAGAAAGCATCAAGATGGCTCCATTCGAAGCTTTAAATGGCAGAAAATGTATAACACCATTAAATTGGGTCGAGCCTGGTGATAGAAGGTATTATGGCATTGACTTTGTAGAAGAAGCCGAGAAGAGAGTTCAGATTATTCAGCAGAATATGAAAGCGGCACAATCACGTCAGAAAAGTTATGCAGACAGAAGGAGACCCCTTGTGTTTGAAGTTGGTGACTATGTTTTTCTGAAAGTCACGCCAATGAAGAAGAAAAGGTTCAGAGTTCGAAGAAAGCTTGCCGCGAGATTCGTAGGACCATACAAGATCCTAGAACAAAGAGGTCCGATAGCCTACAAGTTAGAGTTATCTGAGACAATAAGTACCATTTTCCCAGTTTTCCATGTATCACATCTCAAGAAATGTTTGCGTGTTCCGGAGGAAAGAATAGAACCTCGAGGTATCCAACTCAAATCAGATTTGGTGTATCGTGAGCAACCAGTCCGGGTGTTAGACACTAAGGAACGTGCTACTCGGAATAGTGTGGTGAAAACATAGAAGATACAGTGGGATCACCATGATGAGGGAGATGCAACTTGGGAAACAGGAGAGTATCTACAAAAAAGCTTATGAAGATTTTTATAACAAATGGTTAAGAACCCAAATCTCGGGACGAGATTTTTATAAGGGGAGGGTCAGTAACACCCGGTGTTATGCCCGCATTTAGGCACCTCGCAAATCATACATATCATGCATCATCACGCATCCTAATCCTACATGCCTAATCATGTAAATAACAATTGAAACACTTTGCTTGAAACATATGAAACATGTTGTGAAACCCAATGTTGCATACCTTTGTTTGAATTGTTTTGCCCTGATTTTGCTTGCTAGGTTAGTAAAACATGTTTGGCTACTATGGTAAATCATCTAGGATTATTTAGTTCAATTTTTGGAGCAAGGTTGATATTCAAAGTAATTTCCCAAAAATTAGGGTTTTGAGTTAATCATGGGCTTTGATTTTTCAATTAAAAATCTAGAAAGAATTTGGCGTTGGTCAGAAAAAGCAAAGTTGTAGAGAATTAAATTCTAATCAACTTTCATTTTTGGTACATTTTCAAAAGATGTCATTTTCTTGCTCAAAATAATATTTAAAAGTCGGCATTTAAAATTTCTTGAAAATATAAATGAAAAGGGTTTTTCTCCTTCATGGGTCAGCCGCCTGCCTGCCCACGATCCAAGCTTTACCAATGGCACAATGAACCCGCCTGCCCTCACTTCATCTGCCGAAGCCGGTCATCTTCGCTCGCTCGCTCATGCTGCTTCTCCCATCCGCAAGCACCAGCGCTTTCATCTGCCACTGGCATGCGCCACCGCACCCACCGGCGAAATCTGCCGCGGCTCCTCCACCTCAGCCAGTAATCACGCGCCCGCAGCTCCGCCTCGCTCTCCTTCAAGTCGTGCTCGTGTTTGCCCCAACTGGTGAGCTCAGGTAGAGCCGTCTCAAGCCCCGCCACCGTTGGCCATGGCGCCGCCGTGCTCGGGCGCCATGGAAAGCCCCTTCCTCCTCTTCTCCAACCCCGCCTAGCTACCCTACCGCATTCGCCACTTCTCGCGATCGCATGCGCCTCTATCTCGCCTGTCTCGGTCGGAGATGGCCATGGCCTGTGGTAAAGCAGCAGCCATGATGACGTCATAGCCATGCGTGGCCTCTATCTCACCAAGCCAGAGGAGAGAGCAGTGCGTGGGCGGCGCCCTACCGAGCCGTCTCCCCTTCCTTCTTGCGCTTCGGGCCACAGAGAATAATGTGGCCGTGGGCACCTGACTCAATGGGCTGGCCCGATGAGCCAGTGAGATAAATGGTTTTCAATTTATTCTTTATTATTTGAAAATAGATATGATTTGAAAAATGTTTGGATACTCAAAGTTGCTCCAAATCTATTGAAATAAATTTGTCTAGGTTACTTATCATCAGATCTACTTGGGAAAATTATTGCATGTCATTTTTGGGATACTTATCTGTAGAACTTTATTTAATCATGTATATTGCTGATAACTTGAAAAATGTGTAGAAAAATCTATAGGCTTCAGAAAAATATGATTCCAAGTTTGTTAATCTTCTTATGTAATGTACTTTCTAGCAAAAATATGTGTCACGCTTGTGCTGTAGAAAAATTTCGAGGTGTAGTTCAAGTGCCTTTAATGGCTGATTTTTGTTATTTTAGCTAGAGAGCAAACTTTGTATAAAACATGCATGTGATAATTTTTGTACAGTAGTTGTATGCTATGAAGAACATAGAAAAAATATTAACTCTGTTGTTTAACACTTTTCACAGTACAAAGTATTTTTATGTTCATAATCATGCCATTGCTTGTTATTTTTGTGTAGGCTAACCCACTCATTCAAACATCATGAAAATCTGATGGTAGACTACTTAGGGTAGTAATGTGCTATGGTAATTTTCTAAGATTTTTCTAAGCAATAAAAATAGAGGTTTCTATTCAAACCTATTATTAATTAGGGTTTAATTAAGGGTTGCTTTATGTGTGTTTAAGAAGCTTTGGTGTATCTTTGAAGCATTTAATAAGATATGTTGACTTAACATATTAGTAGTAGAAGAGAATGCAGTAGATGACATGTGCTTGTAGTATATTTTCTTGGATGATGTTGACTACCTTGCATTCAAACATATCCATTGTATTCATCTCATCCTATGCACCGATTGCATAAGCACTTACGCACATTGCATCATACAGGATCGCAAACCGAGAACCCAGTCGTCATACCCGAGGAGCAGTTCGAGGTGCAGCCGCAGGAAGGGCCAGAAGCCGACGAGGAGGACGTTGAGGAACTTCCGGAGTGCCCCGATCACCGTCCGAGCTCCTTCGAGAGAGGCAAGCCCCGGAGCATTTTTCTCCCGGTTTACAATTATTTAATTAAATGCTTTACTTTAATTGATGCATTACGTTCAGGAGTTGTTTGCAACCGTTGCTGTATTATACCTTGTTTACCTTTGTTATACTATATCCTTGTTACCCTGGTATCCGCAGTCGAGTCAGTGCTTAGCTGGCTTAGACCGGTAGAAGTCGGGTGATTTCCTGTCACCTGCGAGCTATAGGTGGTTACCTGGATCTGCTTGGATGACTATGAAGTCATGGTATAACTAAGTGTTAAATGAAGTTAAGACCGGACGGAGACTTGCAGAGTTTTGGACTGTAGTGTTTCCGTCTGTGTCGATTAAGGACCGACCGTTGTTGGGCCTCGAGTCATGTTGAATGCATGCCTTACATTTAGCTGGCCGGATAAAGTACCTTCCGACCGCGAAGCTGGGAGATTTTTTGGGCCGAGTAGATTGCCCACAGCGCACTGTGCCGGAGCAGGTGTGGTAGGACACGGGGGCGAGATGATAAGACCAAAGTGCAGTCGGTCGGCCCCCGGGTACATGTGGTTCCTGGCAAACTCGAGATACCTGGAAAGTTGACTCGGTGATCAATATCTCACTTTAGCGGGTGAGTGAGGTTTGTGTAAGGAATAAATCACCAGCTGGTTAGGAATCGATTCGAATCGCCATCGCTCCTGGATAGTGAGCACTTGACTTGAGTTACTTCACCGTAGTAAATGTTTATGGAACACTTGGACAGTTATAATGAATATGACACTATGGAAGTTGTTTAATGATCATTGGTTATCATTATCCGCTTAATCATATGTTTGCTCTAGTTTAGGTGCAAATCTAGTTGACAGGTTAATAATAATTAACTTGATAATAATGCTTTTAGAAAGGTTCTTGAAATGCTAAAAATGTTTCTTTTGCAAATGAGTCAGCTACCCTACTATAAAGCCCTTCATAATCCTTGGTGTCATTTATTTTCGGTTATGTCGGGTAAGTCTAGCTGAGTACCTTCTCGTACTCAGGGTTTTATTCCCACTTATTGCAGATGGGCAGATGTATTACGGCTACTGTATCAACTGCCTTTATCCTGCGATAGGTGATGCTTAGGACCATGGGCATGGTCATTCCTTACGTCTCGTCTAATGCTTTTGTTGGAGATGATCATTCGCTGGCACTATATTTGAACTCCGCGTGAGTGTGTGTGGTTTGAACAGATGGCTTCCGCTACTTTTATTCGAACTGGTTTTGTAATAACTATGTTGAAACTCTGATGTATTTGAGATTGCGAACTTTTATGTAATATGTGATGGTGACCGCTAAACTTATTACGATCTTGGCTGGAATGGAAGTTGGTTTGAAATCCTTCGTGATTTCACGGACTACGGGGTTATACGGGCTTAAGTTTGCTAAATCGTCTGCTCTGGCGGATGATTTTCTTACTTAATTTCGTATAATTGGTCGGTTCTGTTACATTTTTCTCTCACAAGAAATCAGCGAACGGTACTTTTCAGCCTGGCTTATCAGATGTATGTAGAAAAACTAGAATGACTTATAATTTGGAACGCAGAGAGTACTTGTATAATAGACATTGCTAAAAGTTTCAAAAGTTCATTCAGAAACACACCAGGCTCTCAAATAATGCTTGCATTATAACAGATGGTGTTAGACATTTCAGTTGTATATTTAATAAATGTTGCAATGCCTGGGGGAAAAGTGTTTAGAAACAAGAATTGAGAACATACAAAGTAATTCTAAGATTGTAATTCTCATTCGAATCACCAAAGAAATTGAAAGATACTGAGCACTGAGCAACAAGCATAAAGAGTACAGACCTATGGTAGGTGTACTTCTGCACTGAATTAAAATCAATAGTACAAATCTTTACCTTGGATATAGGAAGTGAAACTGCTCTCCACCTTCGATGTACTCCTGAAGCATCTGTGGATGGTACTCCAAAATCTGTTTGCACTGAGAAGATCAGAAATCCAATATTGACTGAGCAACATATGTTCCACCCAGAATGAAAATGGTTACATACCTCCCGATATATCATTTCTCTTACACCCACCTTTGTTAGTTTTCTTCCCTCAAATTCAAAGTCAACCTTTGAAATTGGTTGCGCTGAAGGCTCAAGTTCCAATTTAGAAAGCCCACTAAAATATGGATCAGCTAAAGCCTGGACGAGATTACAACGATATAAACTTTATGCGTTCTCCTCCCTATCCTCTTCCCCAGCAACAAGAAAGTATGCAGACAGCTTATTTCAATTTATCGCTCCTTCCTCATTAACATCCAGATATTGGCTGAATGCTCTATAGCTCCTCACTAGTCACTATTATGAAAATTCAAACTACTTTAATAAGGAAACAACGCAGCAGCGTTGTCTCTGATCGTGATGATGAAACCATTATTACAAACCCAACAACCAACTAAGCAATCGCCACGTGTTCAGGTTGCAGCACAGATTCACCACTCTTTGACCTTGCTGGCAAGTAGCATGTGATCTGTTGCAGCCATGCCTGGTGATGATACTATTCAGTTCCCGATGTAATGGGACTTTCTGAACTATTTTTCTTTCGATGAGGTAGAATCCTTTCTCCAATAATCACTTGAACTAGCGAGGATGAGGCCTCAGCCATGCTCAATCTGTTTAGCTAGATGGCTTGAATGTTGTGAAAAGCATGGCATGACTGCTCATTATGCAACACCCCGCAGCACAAAAGAGAACATTTTGAGCATAAGGGATAGACAATAGACATCAAAAGGAACAACTCAACAGGTGCTAAACTACAAGGAGAACATAGAGAAATGGAGATATACCAGTCTAAAAAGGATTGAGCATGGCTGAGGCCTCATCCTCGCTAGTTCAAGTGATTATTGGAGAAAGGATTCTACCTCATCGAAAGAAAAATAGTTCAGAAAGTCCCATTACATCGGGAACTGAATAGTATCATCACCAGGCATGGCTGCAACAGATCACATGCTACTTGCCAGCAAGGTCAAAGAGTGGTGAATGAGAGCAAGAACAATGAATAAGTGCCGAATCTAGAACTCACTCAGTAACAAGTGAGTCTCAAATGAAGAGGGCCTGCAGTGAAAGAAAACATACATGTAATAGGAGATCAGAACTGCACCAACCAAGTAATCATACGGCAAAAGGAGCAATGCACGGTGAAGCTTACATGTGACCACACAAGGGCCACGCACAATTGCGAAGGCTTTTCCAGGAAACTAGCTGAACCATAGTACCTTCTTTAAAAGAAGGCCTACTGGATGCTCATGGATCCACCAGGGAAAATAGAGAAGTGAGCAAAACAACATAAGGCCAGTAGCTATATCGTTTCTCTTATTAACATCCTGCCCCAGCCTAATAGAAATGCAATCTCCATAAAAAGTCAAACTTATATCAATATTAAAAGGGAACTGGCTCCTTGGTGCAAGGCAAGCCATCTTATCGGTGGAATTAGCCAACAACATCAGAAGGACAAGGACACCTGCGACTATCGCAGGACAATCCAAGCAAAAGTCAGACTGAAACTAGTACGGAGGGGGGTATAATAAAGCACGAATTAAAGGTTGACTTGATGATAAAGAGTACGATACTAATACTAAAGAGAAAAGGGCACGAGTTCCACAAAAGGATGGGAGAAAACGCACCTTCCTGGAGCAAGCAACAGCCGAAACCAATCCAATCCGGATGAGAGGTTGCATGGTCAGAAACGAACACTTATCAGAGCTGGCACTTGAATGGAGCAATTCCCACGGCACACATGACAATGAAAATAATATATTCAAGCAAATGGACAGCACGAGCAGAGTGTGGTGTGGGGGGCGTGGGCAAAAGTCATATTTTTTTCAGAACACCCACACCAGAAGACACCTAACGAGTGAGTGGCACCGCCGCGGTAGGCAGGCCGGAATAAGCATCACGAATTCCACTTGAGGTGAATTATTAGAGGGAAATCTTGGACAGGAGCATGGGTGCAGGATCGCGGTGAGAAAGAGAGGAAGGCGGAGACCACAACAGAAAAATTCAGCGCATCCAGCCAATGAGCCAAAGTTGGTTGAAGAAGCGCTCCAGTTGGTCATGCCTCGCTCGTCAGCTAACCAAAAGGCGCGTACTATGTTATAGTATACTAGTACTTGTAGTTCACTTTACCAGTGAAGAAATTTAGGAAAATTGGTTCTACAGCATCGAAAGATGACCAATTTTGAAAAATAACATTGAAAGGTCATCGTTCCGTAGAATAGCATCGAAAGGACGAAACGTTCGTAGCATTCCGTCATATTGCTGTTAATGTCATCTGTTGGTCGTCGTTTGGTCCGTCCAAGCCTGTACTCAATGATTTCCTCCGGCTCATGACCGGCCATGGCATCTTCCGCCGGGGCGTAGACACGCGCTCCGCTGCGGTGACTCCGTGAGGCTACTAGCGCCTGCGCGCCTTCGCTCGCCATTCGCGGCTGCCATGCGCGTGGTTTCCAACGACGACTTCAACATGTGGCACCGCCAGGAGGACGTACCGCCAGTGGAGCTGCCCTTGCAAGGTGCAGCGGCGTTGCGCGGCACGATGATCTGCAAAAGATGGAAATATAATTATATACGTACATGGCTGAAACAATTAATATGGCCAATCAACAAATTGAGCTTTCGGCGGCCGCAAACAGCGAGCAGAGCTACGAGCGGAGATGCGCTAGTTACATTGATGCGGGCCGAGGCGCGGACACGGACGCCAACCTCGTGGGGTGTTCAGAAGTTGCAAAAGATCAGGCCACCACCACACATACCACAAACTCATTTTTGGAACATTCTTGCTCTTATGCTGCTGGCACATCTGGAAATGCAGGAACAACACGGTCTTCCGGGATGATCGGACTACACTGGCAGGCGCTTTGGCAGCGTGCAAGACAGAGGCAAACATGTGGCGAGTCCGTCTGCGGAGAAAAGATAGGCAGACATAAGATGCTTGGTGCTCTATCCTTACTGCTACAATGTAAACCTAAACTAGTCTTATCTTTGAACCGTGTATTGCTATGTATTTCAAACATCTGGCCTAGAGGGCCACTGAAATCAATATAATCTCAGGTGGGGGTTTCTCCCCCCAGTCGATTTATCAAAAAAAAACCACGTGGGGTCACCGCAACGCAGCACGGCCTGCATCTCGGACGGGAGCCCTAGACCATGGAGTGCAGCGAACGCGACTTGCACCTGGCGGATGCTACCATGACCGTTTGCTGACCCGCCTCGCTCGCAAGTCACTGGCATGATCCTCCTCTCCGACGAGCAGGACACTTCCAGCTGCTGGACGAGCGTCAGGCCCGACGGCACCAAGAGCTATGCCGTCCTCGTGCCGTCAAAGCAGCCGGCCGGCGCCGATCCTCACGTTCGGCTTTGACACGGACCACGCCGCCGCCGCGATGCATGCCACCGTGGAGGCCACGGGTGGCACCTTCTCCTTTGTCGGGAACTAGGCGGCGATCTAGGACTCTTTCGCGATGTGTCAGCGGGCTCCTCTCGGTGGCCGTGCAGGAGGCGGGCGTCGCTGTAGCGTGCCTGCACCGGGGCGTCCGAGTCCAGGAAGGCAAGTCCGGCGCCTATGGCAGCCACTTGGCCGCTGATGGCCGCGCCGCCTCCATCGAAATGAATAGTCAGGAACGGCCTTAACGGCTAACGTGATAAAATGCTAATTTAGGGTTACGTTCATTCTTTCCGAACGTAACAATCTTTCAATGCTATAGAACCTATTTTCTCAATAAATTTTGGTAACACTACACTGCACTGCACTGCACCAGCCCACCGAGCAAACATTGCACGGACACGAAGCAGTCAAAGATCAGAAAGGGCTGGATGAAATCAACCCCAATCTAGAATCTAGATGCCAGGTTCCCCAATTCAAGGTTCACCTGCCAAACCGAGCGTCCCGGAAGGAGCAGAGGACTCCATGTCCCCATCCATGGGATGGGGTGGGTTACGCGGGGTTGTTGGGATTGAATGGACCTCGTCGTGATAGCAACAGGACTGACCTTGTTACGCTGAGCATCCTGTGGCAGCGGCGGCGCCATCTCGCGTAGCTTGGGGACGCGGTGGCGGGTGATGGGGGATGGGTGGCGGGTGATAGGGCACGAGGTTACTGGTCGATTTTTGCGAGAGAAAAATACTGTTTTAATTGAAAATTTAGGATGGTTTACGTTGAGCGACAGCCAAACGAACAGGCTACCTGTGGCGGTGGGGTCACGCGGTGCCGCTGCCGGCGAGCGCACAGGCACCCGAGAGGCGGAAGCGCGACTCCGTCGACGAGGGCCAGGGCCATAGCGCCTCAACGGCGACGGCAGCGCGGTTGGCGGATAATTCCTCGCGCTCACCGTGGCTTCAACTCGCCGCGGTGCTCCGCTTCGCTTCCGTCTCCGGCGAGTCGAAAGGCCCACGAACAGCACAGCGGCACAAGTTGCTGGGCCGTTGCCATCGCCGCCTCCAGGAAAATGGGAACCCGGGTCGACACGTGAGGCAAATCGCATTCAAAGCTTCTTCGGGTCAAAAGCTAACCATCATTTTCGTTATAATCACAATATTTGATAAATACGTATGAGATTATAAAAGTACTTTTGAAGACAGATCATATATTTCTATAAACTGAATGTTGTGATGGCTATTGACAATCGAAGTTTAACTGGGGGGAATTCAATTCAACATTCACTGCCCAGATGCAATTGAGAACACAGGCGAAAAATAGGAAGAGCTATGCGTGCAAGAACCAAAAGCACACGGTTCAGTTCATCCTTCCCAGTTCCAAGCACAGCCATGGCGAAAGAGCATCAGAAAACAAAGAGAGGCAACCTTAACACAACAGCAGACACGGCCTTTACAGACGCTACTAGTGCTCGAGTTCTTGGCGTTAATCGGATCCCTGCTTCATTTTCAATCATCTTTTACAGTATCAGATCAGGGCACACGGCACACACATAGATATACAAAATTGGGAGCAGCTGATGGTGAATGTGACACAGCTGCGCAATTCCCTTTGCCGGCTGCTCTTATCTGATGGGGCGCGGCGGCATTTCTACTTCGCAGGGGCCTTGCGGAGCTTCTCGAAGGAGGGGTGCCTCAGGATCTCCTTTGCTGAAGGCCGGCTCACCGGATCAGGATCCATCATAGACTGAAAAATGGACAGTGACAGAATGTTTGAGGCTATTTTTCGCATGTTACGTGCTACAAAGAAATGTTTCTGCGCAATGGTATGTATGTAGGATGCCATAGTTTGCTAAGGTCATATGGTGGGAACATACAGAATCCTTCAAAGTTGTAAATCAGCAAACAGAAACAGAGACAATAGCTCCAACTTTAAGCAACCAAATAGGTATGTAGAAAAACAAATTTACTATCAAGTAGCCAATGGCTCTGACTCAGACATAGAACTACTAAAACTTGCTCAAAAGTGAACCACAAAAACAAAATCCTGCATGTATCTCCCTAGAGTTGGGAGTTGCCAGTGTATGTGCCATGTGTTCGATCACAGTAGAATTTCAACAAAAGAATCAGAAGTACCAGTTCCAACCTCATATTGTGTTTATACACTAATAGTCCATGGGATTAGGTTTATAATTAGAAGATAGGTATGACGTAGGTAATACTTCATTAGTTAGAATAAAATTTTTGTTCCTAAGCTTTCAAAATTAAGAAAGTTATGCATAAATATTAAATAGTATCATTTTATCCTCATCCTGCATATTATGAAATAAAGGCCAAACAAAGTAAGCAGCTGGGTAGGAGAAGCCAGATGTTATACCTTAATTAAACTTTGAAACTGTGTTGGGCACCCTGGAAGTAATGCGATCTTACCCTCTCTAATGCTTGTGAAATGAGGCCCAGACTCAGGAAGTGGGGTGCCTCTTATTAGCTCATAGACAGCTGCCCCAAGAGAAAAGATATCAACCTTGTCAAGATGCTCATACTTATCATTTAGCATTTCCGGAGGCATATAACGTGAATCTCCATCTTCAATTGCCAAACCCCGGTTAATAAGTGTAGCACAACCAAAATCTCCGAGCTTATAAATACCATTTCTGACATATATGTTATCAGGCTTCACGTCAAGGTGTGCTATGCCACGTTCATGCATGAAATCCAAGCCTTTGCAGATCTTCAGAATCGCAAAGTTTACTATTAGTATTGATACACATGAAAAACAAGAGGAAAATGCTTTCTGGTGAAGTGAACGATATTATTAAGGAATGATGCTGAATGAACTTCTGAGGGACTAAAAAAAGAAACATCACTAGTGCATGTCTAACAGAACTTAGGTTTACATATTTCCTCACTTGATATAAACAACTTCAAAATGGATCTCTTCAATTCTAAAGCTTGCACAAGTAAAACATATTTGGACTTTGTAGATTATACACCACAAAACTAGGATGTATCCTATATCTCTTGGCATGTTATATGGATTTCAGTATTTGACTTTGTATTTGGTCAACAAGCTGGAATGGTGGACCTAACTACAACATCAAACTACCAAATGAATCAATCTAATATCTCTTCGATTCAAACTAGGACATAGAAATGTGATTTTCTCCAATTGCAAATTTTGTACAACAGTCTTCTAACCCACATGATTAGTTCCCAGAAGGCCAGAAGATATTCCTTCTAACCCACATCAAGAAAGTTATTATTCAGGAAAAAGCAAAAGTGGTAAGGCTTAGTTCTCTTATCCTATGAGCTCAGGCTCAGTGGCCAAAAGGAATAAAATTGGTAAATAACAAAGTCTCAAACCTGATACAGCAGTTCCAGGGCTTCCCCACGCTTCAGTGGCTGGTTCCGATTCATAGATAGACAGCGATCACAGAGTTCCATCTGAATATAAAGTTGCCCATTCTCAAACCAAGAGGTGAAATATCTAACTATGTTCTCATGAGAACCTGGAAAGACATGGTACAGATGTTATAACCCTCCTAGCAAATGCAGTTGAAACTGAAGAAACAAAAGTTTACTGCATGACCTAAGGCTGCCATAGCTTGGACTTCCTTCACTGCTTGCCTCCTGCAACGGAAGATACAGCATTCAATATCAGTTGATGGACAATCCTGTTCCTGGTGAAACACAATGCTGCTATGAAATTACCTTTCCATATCATTATGCAATTGCTTGATACTCCGTTTAACAGCATACAAGCACCCATCTATCCTGTTCAGAACTTTGAACACAACACTGAAGTTGCCAGAACCAATTTTCTGGGAATTAAGCATGCCACTGTCAGTGATAAAACCATCGATCACATTGGATTGCTGCAACATGTGACTAATATATATTCATAGCATACCTCTAATTCATGGAAATCAGTTCGGTAGCGTGAAAGGCCATTACCACCAATTGAAGGAGAAAACCCTTTATACATTATAGAAGAAGAAAAAACTAATTAGCTCTGTCTGAACATTTATTATAAAGACACAGATATCGATAATTTTTTATTACGCTGAGGCTGAAAAGGCATGTTATAGTTACATATTAGATGTACACGTGACTCACAGATGCATAACAGGGAAATGTACATACTTTTTGAATTACTGATAGCACAAAATGCAATAACGATACCTGCTGAGTTGCATTGCCTCCCACCGTAAACAGCATCATCTATGTATGGATCAGTATTGAGGTATGGATTCTTGACGCATGGTGGAGGCATCACCCGGCAGCGCAGAGCCACTGCTGACTGGGAGACATAACCACCCCTCTTTTCCAGCACAGGCTGCATCGGCTGTTCTTCCGAATCATCTCGAGTCAGACTGTCAAACGGAACCGGAGTAATCTGATGGTCGAAGGAAAAGTCTGTGGATTCCAGACCTTTGGGAGAACAATCTGCAAATATTGGCAATCAGCCATTCACCCATTAAGAGGGAGCAAGGAAACGGAGCAACACAGTCCATCAATGAGTTGATTGAGTTTACAATTGTTACTGATTACAGTTGGATCATTGGTTATTGTGGCAGAAATAGTTTCACATTCCGATCAATCAGTAATCAGTTTGAGGGGTGAGATACTGAAATTCTCTCACCGGTTCTGTACCGCTTGCTCCGAGGGTTCGCTGACTTCTCCGGAGATTTGGGGCAAGGGATGTTCTCCTGCACAAAACCAGACAAACCGTTAGGGGAAGTGGAGCTCACCACGGCACACTATCACTGCAATGGCATGCCCACACTCAAAAAAGAGAAAAATCTCATCTTCCCCACCTTGTCGTCGTCGAACTCGTTGGCCACCTGCGGCATCTCCGGCGTGATGTAGTCTGGGGTGCTGCAAACAGAGGGAAGAGGAACGGGGTTAATCTGAGACCACACACACAGTGCCACTCAGCAAACCAACACAGAGGCTCGGTCCAGAACGTACCAGAAGAAATCCTGGCTGAGGATGCAGCAATACTTCTCCTCCATGGTTTCGTCCGCGTCCATCGGCGATGCATGTGGGAGCTGCGGCGGCGGCGGCGGCGGGGGCATAGACTGCGGCTGGGGAAGCGGCGGCGGCGGGGTCGGCTCGGCGCGGTAGCAGCCCAACCCCTCCGCATCACCATCCTCCTCCTCTAGGAGCGCCTCGAAGGGGGTGAGCCCGCCGGCGGGGGCGGCGGGGCGGCCGTCGGAGAGGAAGGAGATGAGGGAGACGTGCTCCAGCTGCAGCGAGAGCTCCCCGGACGGCGACCTCCCCTCGGCCTTGGCGGGCTTGACCGCCGAGGCGGCCCCGGGTGCGCGGCGCGCCTTGCCGCCGCGCGGCCGCGGGGTCTTGGTCCTCAGCATCGCCGGCGGCCGAGCGAGCGAGCGAGTGCGGGAGGGATCGACCCCTTGTCGCCCCGCGGTCGATTCGGATCCCTTGCGTTGCGGCCGCGGCGCGGGGCGGGGGATTCGTGGGGGAGGCGAGAGGAGGATGCGGCGGGGCCGGAGATGGGTGTCCACTGGCAGGGCGGCACGAGAGAGAGAGAGAAGCGCGGACGGGGAGGGATAAAATAATTAGGAATTTGAAATGAGTGAGTGCGCAGCCGCGCTAGGGAATTGGCGGGAGGAGCCATTACTGCGTTTCGCCGCCTCGGTCTCGTCCCCCCGGTCGGAATGCGTGCTGTCGGGCCCGGGTGAGGCGTTTCTTTCTTGATTCGGGTGTTGGGCCGGCCCAGCAATTGGTGACTCTTTCCTTAACTTGGTACTAATGAAATATTTTTTGCTCAAAAGAAAAAACTAATGAAATATTTCCATTTTGGCCCCCTTTTTATGGCACCACTAGTTCCCCCGGAACAAAAAAAACTCGAGCTGTGGAAAGATCTCCAGTGAAGCGAAAAAAAAAACAGTAATGCAGCTAACCTGACGTTAGGACAGACACACGCTTAGTGCAACCGTGCACCGCACAAATTATATGGACCCATCCACGGAACAACGTGGCAGGCTGGTGCGCCTTTTAGTGCGCTCGAGAACATTCCAGACGTAATTTAGTCCCAATCGTCAGCCTCTTCGTTTCGTCGTAAACGATCCTGAATTATTTACTGCTGGCTGGTTTAGTGTGAGAGAAAAATAATGTTCCAACTTATAATCTACGATCGTATACGAGCAAGCGAACAGGCTGCGCCTCCATGCTCTCTCTTCCTCTCTGACTTCCCACACGGGCTTTGCAAGTCTTCATCTATCCTCTGTTCCTATTCCCACACGTTATTCGGTCCTGTGTCACCATCCCATCTTTAAATAAATTTATTATAAAAATAGATTCAACGATCTATCTAATGAGAATATTAATTTTTATATATATTCAGCAAAAAGTTGTCTCTTAGAAGCGAAAATGATAGTTATTTAGGAAAGGAAGAAATACGTTGCAATGACAAAATATGCATGTTGTAAGTATATGTTTCAAGTGTTTCGTTATTTTAGACGTATGTTTCATATGAATGTTGTAGAAATATTTTTGATGTCGTATAACATGCATGTGTTCAGGTGCATGTTTCAAGTGTTTTAGCTGTTTCATATGTATGTTGTAAGTATTTTATCTGGATGTTGCAAAAGTAGATCTCGGTATTGTATATATTACTATGGCTATACACGCATATTTCAAGCATCTAGTTCAAGTGTTTCATCTGTATTCAGTCATATGTTGCAAGTGTTTCAATTTAATATTTCAAAAGTAGATCTAGTGGAGCACATGTTGCAATAGCGTCAATGACTGGCAGACAGCGGCCTTGCCGCATCCACCTGTTGCCATTGCTGGGGTGCCGCCGCAGGTCACTATGTGAGCGCTTGAGGCCGGCAGGCGTCTTCGCGGCGCGCATTCGCAGACAGGGTGAGACGGGCACAACAGGCGCTCCTGTCTGTTACAACAGGGCAGGGTAACAGTCCTCCTATTACGCGGGCACGGCGGGCGCACTTCGCTTACACGGAGACAGTACGAGAACAGGAGCAGCGCCGGACGCCTCCTGTGGCTAGACGTCCTAGGCGAATTTGATTTTTTTTCACATTCGACAAAAATAAATCTTGCTAAACAAACTTTTTGCGCACGATTACTGATCCAAATTTGATACCTCTGTGGGGTAGGCCTTAACATTGTCGACTAATAACAGTAAGTGATTGAGTTCACTATTTTTTTTGGAAAAATATTAACACTAAAGATATGATAATATGTAAAAATAAAATTGATTGAATCACCTAAAGGGCCCGAAGCGCGCCATATTTCAAAGAGAGGACGATGGACTATTCCCATTTAATTTGATAGTTACTGAGACCCGTGTGAAAATGGAGATGTCTCCTACATTCATATGCTAATGGTCCCTAATACCTGAATTTCTCTATTATGGGATGAGGATGAGGTCATTTCATCCTCTCATCCTAATCTAAACCGTAGACAAGTGAAATGTCCTAATATGGCTAGAGAGGTGAATAGCCTATTTAAAAATCTACAAACCAACTAAAGCAATTTGATTAGTATAACAAATAACGGAATGCAAACTTGCTCTAGCTCTACAAGGGTTGTAAGCCACCTATCCAACAATTCTAGTTACTATGATCACTAGACACTCAATTTGTCAAGTCACTACTCACTAAGAGCTCTCACACTTGCTACACTAAAAAGCTCCACTAGATAAACACAAAACAACAAATCAAGCTCTCAATTCTAACTACACTAAAGAGCTTGCTATAACTAGTCTGCACGAATATAAATAACTGAGTAGAGTGATTATACCGCCGTGTAGAGGAGTGAACCAATCACAAGATGAACATTAAATCAATCATCGGGAGAATACCAAAGGGCAAGAGACAACCAATTTTCTCTCGAGGTTCATGTGCTTGCCAACACGCTACGTCCCCGTTGTGTCGACCAACACTTGGTGGTTCGGCGGCTAAGAGGTGTTGCACGAACCTCATCCACACAATTCGACACCACAAGAACCTACTCACAAGTGAGGTAACTCAATGACACGAGCAATCCACTAGGGCTACCTTTCGGCGCTCCGCCGGGAAGGCACAAGTCCCCTCACAATCACCGAAGATGGCCACGAACAATCACCAACTCATGCCAATCCTCCTCCGCTGCTTCAAGCCGTCTAGGCGGTGGCAACCACCAAGAGCAACAAGCGAATCCCGCAGCGACACACGAACACCAAGTGTCTCTAGATGTAATCACTCAAGCAATGCACTTGGATTCTCTCCCAATCTCACAAAGATGATAAAATCAATGATGGAGATGAGTGTGAGGGCTTTGGCTAAGCTCACAAGGTTGATATATCAATGCAAATGGCCAAGAGAGTGAGCTTGAGTCGGCCATGGGGCTTAAATAGAAGCTCCCACGAAATAGAGTCGTTGGCTTCTCAGTCCACTGAAAAATGGGGCGACTGGACGCGCCGGTCAGATCGACCGGACGTAGGACCCCAGCATCCGGTCGCGCGGTGCATGCCATGTGGCACCTGCTTCAAATAATGACCGCCCGATCTCAACGGTCATCAGTACACTTAAGTTGTGATCGGACGCGCTGCTCGAAGTGACCGGACGCACCATCACCAACGTCCGGTCGTTTCCAGTAAGGTTTCACTCGCGATCGGACACGTTAGTTTGATCATGACCAGACGCAGGACCCAGCGTCCGGTCACTTCCTATAAGCATCCACTCGTGACCGGACGTGTCCGATCATGCCCGACCGGACTCACCCAGCGTCCGGTTACTCACCGTCTCCTCTGTGCACCGCCACATCATCATGACCGGACGCTGAACAATGTTCAGCCAGAGTCCGGTCGCCTACGTCCGGTCAAGAGACCAAGGGTGGCCTTCACTGTGTGCCACTGATCGGACGCAGGACCCCAGCGTCCGGTGCACTTTGTGAAACTCTGTCTTTTTTGTATAGGGCGCCAGTGGCACCGTCGGACTGTCCGCAGTTCCGCACTCACTCCGCCGGTGAAGTTTCGAACCCTTGCTCAAATGTGCCAACCACCAAGTGTATCACCTTGTGCACATGTGTTAGCATATTTTCACAAATGTTTTCAAGGGTGTTAGCTTTCCACTAGATCCTAAATGCATATGCAATGAGTTAGATCATCTAGTGACACTTTTATAACCGCATTTTGATACGAGTTTCACCCCTCTTAATACTACGACTATCGATCCTAAATGTGATCACACTCTCTAAGTGTCGCAATCACTAAACCAAAAAGCTCCTATCAATTTCACCTTTACCTTGAGCCTTTTGTTTTTCTTTCTTCTTTTTCAAGTCCAAGCATTTGATCATCACCATGCCATCATCATCATCATGTCATGATCTTCATTTGCTTCATCACTTGGAATAGTGTTGCCTATCTCATAATCACTTTGATAAACTAGGTTAGCATTAAGAGTTTCATCAATTCACCAAAACCAAACTAGAGCTTTCAATAAGCCATCCCCTTCATGTCTTAGGGGATGGGGATCCCACGGGGATTAATTCCCTAGGATGAAAATGTGAAGAAAAGCTTCCTCATGAGGTCTCACGTGAATGTGAACAAACATTTTTTTCTCCTCACAAGAATAAGGACGAGGGACCATTCTACAACCAAAAATTCCACGTTGCTATCTTTACTATGTCACCCATAATATGTGCGCACGAATAAGATACTCATCATCGTTGAAAAATGAGACTCATGAGTTGGGACTCACCGTCTATCTCGGGTGAGTGGCGAGTGGTGTTGTAGCCAGCACTACCGATCATGCTTAATGACTCTTTATTTTTAGGGTTCTAGGACCAAGGCTCAAAATGTCTCTTTATTTATTGGAACAATGCAGTTTTATAATGAAACAAAGATAGCTAAGGGCAGTCCCAATAAAAGAAACTAGTAGTTTCTATAGCATAGGATACCGCACCAAAAAAGTACTGCTTTTCATCTTATGATTTCTATAACATCATTCATACAAAGAGTAAATTAAATGCAGCACCAAAAACAGATAGATCAATTGTGACAACTATTTTTACAGCCCACATGTGTTCCGTCGACAACACACAATGACAAAGAAACAAAATTGGCCGATAGCTGCCAGCAAATCAACACAGCCGGCAAACATAAATCATATTTCTGCATTCCATCACTTTCCAGAACCAAATATCACCATACAACAACCCATATTTCAGTCTCAAAAACCATACATTAATTAATAATAGCAATCCGGAGATAAAGATAACATGTAACATACATAGTTCGTACAGAATTACTGAAGTTCATCATATGCAAAATAAAATAATAAGGTGCCACGTCCATGTCAGGTAGGTTGCACATGCACTCCAAAATCCATCAGGTCGCAATGGA